TTAATTTTAATTAGTTATTCAGTATGTAATGAACAGAGAGAGTGCTACAATTTATCTTTATTTCAAAAAAGGAAAGTTGATTATGTACATACATGCATGATGGAAAAATAATAACCATGAAATGACTTTATATATTTGCCAAATACTTGTAGTTATAGTAACCAAAGTTGCATATTAGATGAGACTTTTGCAAAAGGATATCAGTCTTTTGACATTTAGGAATGAGTTTCAGTAATTGCTTTTATGGATGAAATGTGACTGGGTTTAGGTACAAAACATTAGTTATTACAAGAGAAGAAAGATGGGTCACGGTTGCCTAATAAATGAGGGTCTAGTTTTTATCATAGGTGAGCTATGTTTACTGATGTACACCTTCATTATAGACTGTAAACGCAAATGGCAACCAAGATCATTTTGAGAGAGAGTGCTGTGAGTTTTATCTCCTCAAATAGTGTTCTATTCTCTACTGCCATTGTATCCACTACCGTAACCATGATACTTGGAACAGTGGAATGACAGGAGAGAATGGAGAAGGAAAAATCAAATTTTGTGGCTCTTGATAAGATCTCGGCAGACATCTGAAAATAAGGTGTATTCTTATGCTATGTGGACAGATTTTAGATGTCTTCAGCACTATAGATATTGTAATACATTATTGGAGTGTGACAAGTGTTTTTACAGTACACAACGAGGTTATTTTCAAATAGACACTTTAATTACTCACCATGAAAAAAAAATATTTAGATAGTTGTTCAACTCAATGGTGCTATTCGTCTTGTAAAGATAATCATAATAAATCATTATCAAAAAAAAACTTGCTCATCTCATGATTTTATAAATATTTAGAGTATGAAAGTATTTGGTGTAGTAATAAATCTGTAATAACTAAAGTAAATTTTTCGTAAGAATTATTGTTCAAAATACTAGTACTTTTCATCTTGTGTCCTTTATGTACAAGTCTTGCATCTGTTGACTTATCAAAATTATTAAGCATAAGGTAGTCATAGTAGACACTATTGATGAATAATATTCAGAACTTATTATAGTGGCTCAAATCATGGAATATGACCACATTATGTGTGACTATCTGATTGAAGCATTGTGTGAACTTCGAAGATCACTGCAGTCAAAATTTTGAAATTTTTAAGCCACACAATCACACATTGCTCGAACTACCGGTATAGTATGCAAGACAGATTTTTTATTTGTCTTTTGCCATTTTTTCTTTTCTTAATTTGATAGTTTCTAAATTTTATTACTCCTCTGGTACATAGTGCTAGCAGGAGTTTTAGTTGTTACCACTGTCTGTCTGTACAAAATTGTATTAGCGCTATTTCAGATTCACAGTGTATATACAAGTGAAGGATTCAGTCGATTCGTCACACACCTGCAGCACCACATCAAAAAATGCAATACCGGTAAGCTGGTGTCACAGACTGTGTATAAATTTGGTGGCTGTACGAGTTAGTGAAACCATGGTTACAGGGACTTCTCATGTAAGTATGAACTTGTCAAATTACCTCAAAGATAATCGCATAAGAAACATCTTTGATTTTGTGATGATTGTCTAAACTTTTTGTCAAAATGAATTTATACAATACAATGATCATTCTGCTCTAGAGTTGAAAATTAACAAATAAACATGTTAACACCAATTGTAAATCAATGTTTTAATGTTAACACAAAAGTTTACAAATGTTATTTTACAAATATTTTAAATAAACTCCTTGGAATAGATTTCAATTAATGGAATTTCAGCATTATAAAGATAAGAGAATAATTATTCAAAAAGTAATTTAATTTTTACTTTATATTTAAAAGATTATATTTGATTGAAAATGAAATAATAAACCAATGCTTTTGACACAAGGTTGCCGTTAATTCTCCACTAGTTCTTGTAATCTTAAACGCTTCCATCATCAACTGATACACTGGAGTAGACATTGTGCCCTCATGGTTCATTTTCAACAATGTTTTACCACCACAAGTCTACTACAAACTACATTGTATTCACTGGTTATTATAATTTTAAATCCACAAACAGTATGATATAAACTGATACAAGCCTCCATAGTTCCTTTCACATTGAATCATTCTCACTTCTTTGAAGAAAATAATTGAGTACAAAATATTTTCAAGAAATATACACCGAATGAAAAGGCTCAGCCTCTTAAATTGTAAAAAAATCATGGAGAACTGAACAGCTCGGCTGTTTTGTGTCAAGAATATCTTAATAATTGATTTGTGTTTATAATAGTTGTGTACAAAAAAACAATGTTAATATATTCATTTGGTCAGTGTTCACTGAAAAGTGTTGATTTCCAACTGCTGAATATAAATTGAAAACTTAATTCAAAATATTGGCAGATTATTTAAAAATAAAGTTGGTGATAACTGAAGTAAAATACAAATAATGGCATGGGAAATGGTGATAAAATTTAAAGATCTCATGAGCTTGACAAAAAAAAACTACCCTCTTACGACCAAGCAGTTTTGCAATGTTAACATTACATAGATGGGTAAAAACTATGTCATTTAAGAGTGTTTGAGTGTTTAGTAGTTAGCACTTTTGAATCACATACAGTAAATCTTTGTCAAGGTATAAGCCTACTCATAATTTTTGAGAAAGTTGGTCATAAATCGCATGACATTGGTTTATTACGTAAAATCATAGAGCTATTCTTTTGTGTGTTGCAGTGACATTTTGGGGAAATATTTCGAAAATTGCTATTTTAAAGCGATTCCATAGAACAGAATGTTAAGGAAAATTTGTATTTTTTGACATTTTTAAACCCAGGTTTTTGAAATAGTTCAGAACAACAAAAAGTACCCCATAATTTATAATATGTCACCAGGCTACAATTAATAATATCTCCGCCATAAGGAACTTATGATAAAAACTTTATAATACTGCCAAAATGGCCAATATCCACTAAAATTCAACCATCGTTTTTTGGAAATGGCTGGTGACCCCTTATGAATATCCTGATATCGCCCTGTCATGAGTACAATTTATTGAAAAAATTAATGAATACTGGGTATTTGCATTTATTGGGTAATTGGCTTCTACCTTAAAAAATAATAGCTTTTATTGATGGATGTCTGCATATCAAATTATGTTGATGCTTTGAACGTCCATCCTTTCATTCATTGACGTCACAGGCACTAGGGGGCGCAACTGTGTTAATTAGGTACATAATGAATAGTAAATCTAAATACATTTGTCCCAATTAATTGTAATATTTATATCTGCGAACTCAGAAATCTGTATCATTTGGGCAAACAAATGTGAATATGTATCATAATACACCTTTCTACACTTGGCGGCCTCTAGCAACGTAACGCTTCTGTCAAGTAAATGGACAAAAAAAGGCTGTTTATAACGTCGATACTGTATTTGATTTGCAGGTATTTGCAGTCAATCTAATGTACTGGTGGGCATACACAATGGTGGAGAGAAAGAGAACACCATTTCACGGTGTTTGTTTCTTGTGAAAGTAAACTGGTGTGAGCTGAAAAATGATGATCATGATTTCTCATGAGATACAATTAGTTTCAATAAAATTAATGCACATTTAGTAAATCTGGTTTGCTCCTTAAATCATCAGTGTTGATGCAATCAATCTGTGAATTTGTCTTACAATCAAAAGGTATGTTATTATGGTTTCACTAAACTACAATGAACTTGTATATTAATATAAAATTGATTCAATCAAAAATAAACAAAAAAACTTGACCAGTTGAAAACGGCAAATAGGTAGGGGTCTCCAACCTACCTGCGAAAAGTGTATAACATTGTAAAATAAAGCACAACCCCAGAATATTGAAGAAAAGTAAATGAAAAAAATGACATGTAGCTTTTCTGGCATGTTTATATTTCATGTTACTACCAATGTCAAACTATGTCTATAAGTTATCAAGTTTTGTTATAACTGACACTCTTTACTGTGTGTGCGTAGAGTTGATCACCTTTCCATGTGAGCGTAGGCTATCTCAGCCATACCGTGAAGGGAATAAACACTTCACTGGGTTGTAACCCATACAAACAGTCTGGTATTTACTCAGAGCATTAAAGTCAGCATATCTGCAAGGACAACATTGTGTTCACAGCTTCTGCAATACACACATTTAATCATTTTCAAACCCAATGGTTAAATTCCGTTCAGACTGGCTCATTCTGCACGCGGCAACATACTCCCTAAATAAAAATAATAATAAATATAACCATGACAACAGCACCTAGATACAATAAACTGTGTTAATGAATGTCAGTAGATGTATTAGCATAAATAGTATAGATCAATGGAACACGATTTGAGAGGCCACGTCTTGTAGATCTCTCACTCTAAGTGAGATTTTGGCGGCCATTTGTGTCTACGGTCTATACTCAGTAAGTAATTGTATTGCACCCTCAGCAACAATATAATTTATGTCCGCTAGAGGGCAATTATGATTATTAACGTTGAATTTTATGTTGCACATAGATTGTCGAAGAAAGTGCATACATCATTCTCCAATTAGTCAATCATGCTATGTTTCCATATTTGATTTTTTCATATCATTAATTATTCGAACAAATCTTTATTGGTGGACAAAATGTAAATATCTAACCTTCTCTCCTGGTGCTGGTCTTCTTACTGATATACGACTGTAGAGGGATACTAATGGTGCAAAACATGCGGATATTGTAGACTGAAAACAAAAAAATAGCGACAAATCAGATTGTAAAAGTATACACTAACAAAGTAATCAGATGTATAGTTCATTTTAAAATGCTGGGGAGGGGGGCAAGCGACAGTGTTAACATTTGGTCTGATATCACTAATTAAAAACTTTTAGTTGAGTCGAAAAATACAGAATTTGATAGTCAAATACACCTGTCAACAAGCAAGTTGCTCTCTGATATGACCATGTGTTAGAGTCTGGTGGCCTATCATGCACAATCTCCTTCACCCCAGTTATCCACAGGTAATCTATCATGGTTTACTGTGGGGTCAATATCAGTGAACCATTGTCATACGAGTGATAAATACTAGTAGCATTAATTAGCCGTATCGAGATTATCAATCAATTATACTATAACTGTGGTGGTCGTAGCGCCGCGTCCTGTTTGATATGGGACTCATAGCGACGTATGCAACGCGTGTAAAATACATTGTTTATTTACATGAAATTCGAACACGCACTGCATGACGACCACCGCTCATTAAATTATCATGAGCCTTCTAAAAATATGAATTTCACAGAACCAGGAAGTTTATTAGCGATATTGTTTCACTAACTTGGAATTCAAGCCTTCCCTTCAGGACATCTAATGTTTCTCTTTTACAGGAACCGAATACTATACCTTGAAAGTTTGCATACATGTCGGCCCACTGCGGGCAGATTGGCTGCCACCATTTGACTTTGGATCGTCTTCTGCCTCGGTTACTTGCGCGTTTCGAGTTTTCTCCAATTTAGATCCGGCTTCTGTGGAACCTTTGTCCCCCCAGTCAACCTGACAATTATGTAAATAGATTATTTACAGATCGACTCATTACGTGTTAAATCATACCTTGGGCAAAATATAGGGTTGATTCCCTCACACTGGAATGAGTAGATGTTCAGTTTGTATGCGTCATCCGCATAATACATAACTATGCACTTGCACGGTATATTCATCGAACGAAGTCTACTAAGTGTTGTGTATGTTTCAGAAAAACAACGTTTCTAGTTTACGATTACCAATCCAGTCAGTATATGTATCAAATACGTAAAAAAGCTCAGAATTGTCCAGCGTGTGCTTCTTTAAATCTACTTGCCTCCATTCGTCTTATTCCCCCGGCACCGCGCCCTCCGTAGTACGATGCACTAACAACTGGCCACTTGTTTTTATCTGGGTCTACTTCCGGTTCCGGATTCGGTGGCTTGGGTTTTTGTTTTGCAACCACCTGCAATTAAATATACAATTAGCACAACATCACACAACCCATTGGGCTCTCAGGGCGGCAAGCATGATTGTCCGGCCGCGATGTGTACTAAATATCGAGTTTGACCCTTTACAGTTCTTTGACGAGTTCCAATCAACCCAGGAATTAGTAGTACTTTTTGTAGGCGTTGATTTGCGCATTGAGCAATTAAGCATCTCGACTCATAACTCTGGCACCAGCGCCCTCAATGTATGTGCGGAGTCCAACATACGGGGGGGGGGGGGTGACCAAATCAAATTGTGATTACAGTGGCGGTGGGGTCGCCCCATTGAAATCAACAGGTGCAGTCAACGAGTAAATTTTCAAAAATATTTGGTATTTATGTTTGACCAACAGTAACTTAATTTATGAACATTATTAAGGCTTAATTTAATTTGGAGGGGAAAGGTCAATCTGTTCGCAACTCCCCTCCCTCTCAACCAAATTAAATTGCCCTCCCACTGTTTTTTGCTCCCACTGCCCTCTCCCCACTCAGTTTTTGTTCCCCGCTGCCTTCTCCCCACTTGGTTTTGCTCCCACTGCCCTTTCCCTACTCAGTTTTTGTTCCCCACTGCCCTCTCCCCACTCATTTTTTTTGCCTGCCCTCTGGACGCACAGTTGTATCTACTCTCTCCCACCCAGTTCATACTGTCTTAATACTCCCCTCTCAATAGTTTCTGCTACCTTCTCACTATCATTTCCCAGAGAAGAAGTTAATTGGTCACCAGCTCCAATACTTAAACCCATGTGAATTAAATTTAACGTTTTTTATAGCAGGCGAATTTAAAGATAATGTAATACCAGAGGTAATACTGTATGGTGACATCATGTCAAGATCCCATTCAAGTCTCTTCTCGTAGATAGCGAGACTGAGGCTACGACCTTCTGACATGACACATATCAATGTTCAAGGTTTGTAATGAAAAAATAAAACTTTTCTTGTCACTATCATAGTGAAAAATGTAATACATCGAAAATGTACAAAAAATATAGTTCTCGTAATCCGTCATATCGTGAGCAGCTATTTTGATCCACCTGGACATCCCAGTATCCTAGTTACCTCGGGCATGCGCATTCGCATTTTTCTGAGTTGGAACGCTTATGCGAGAGCGAGATTGTGACGGGATCTTGGTGTCATGTCACCGTAGTTACAAACCCCAAGTAATGTACCTCTGGTAATACCTATATTTTCCATGAAATGACAAAATGCCATGACCCATTTCACCGGCAACACTCTTTATTAAGAGAGTTGTACCCAAGTTTAAATTTTGCACTTCTGAAAAATACAATGTACAATCAGTGATTTTGCCCTTACCCGCTCAATCTAAAAATGGAACTTGCCTGCCCTCTGAATAAAAATCTTCTCCTACTGGAATTCCCCTGAGAAACCCTATTTTTAATTCCCTCCCACTGAAGATGTTTTATTTTGCCTGCCCGCTAAAAATCCCTTGCGAACACATTTTTTTCACGAACAGCTCCGTTGACTGCACCTGAATCAAGCTGAAACTCTTGTATGTCAGCAAAATTAGCCTCTCAAAATGTAGGAAATAGCGTTCCAGAGGGTCTAGATTTAAAAATTGAGCAGAACCCCGCCGCCTCTGGATTATAATAATAAATAATATTATTTTATTATAATAATAATAATAAAACAAATATTCACCACACAACAAAGTAGTTGCCAGAACCACCAAAGTAACAGCAGTGCCATCAACAGAAAAAATAATCCAAGGGCGATCCCGACACCTGTAAAATCAGGCTGAAAAATAAATGTAATTATATTCAACACACAAATGTATGTGCAATTGTTGTAATTGGTGATTTTCCGTACAATTGCGAGATCTCGCGAGATGCATGAAAGACGCGCGTCGAACGTCTACCGCAAAAATCGAACGATTTGATTTTGAACTAGAATTTCTTTATTTCGTAGCTTACATTGACCGGCCGATCTTCGACAGAGAAATATTGCTTCCGAATACCCTTACTTAATCGAAATTGCCTATCATCAAATGTGGACAGCACATTATTAAGCATGGAAATGTCCCCGAAATACTTTCGCGTTTGTCGATTCCCACGCGATGTTTGACGCAACTACGACGCTATGACCTTTGTTTGTCCTGTTTTTACGTTCGATTTCACGCATTACGCGTGATTCTCGCAGTGAACGGAAAATGGTCTATTGGTGAATGTACTTTGAAGGTGCACGGAATAGGAATTAACGACACATTTTCATTGTAAGATATTACGTCTTCACATGTATTTATCACATACAGCAAAGTGAAATTGGTCGATGTACTAGGAACGTGAAATGAATTAAGGGCAGCACAAAGTCTCAGTGTAAAAAATTATGCGATCACATATTATTTTATGCCAAGATTCTAATGCGCATGACATTATGTCCGATTATGTCGACAATTAGCTCAATCAAAGCAGGTTGCCATCTTCTGAACAGTAATCCAATCTGTGTCAAGTGGTGACCTCTTTGTTCACGACTAGTGGATTTATTTTAACTTCCATTCTCCCAATCTTGGTGTTTGATATTATATGGATAAAAAGGTGTAGCTACCTTAATACAGCTGTGAGCTGTGATCGTAATATTACTTGATACGAAGGATCGACCATTGACAGATATCTGTAGAAGTACATAGCTAACGAAGCAATAAAATAACGATGAGATATATGAGATAGGGTTATGTCAGTGTGTGTAATAATGCGCTGTGTCGTATTTAGATATTGTATATCGCAAAACGCTTGAAATACTTCACCTGTCTTCGTCGGGAATCATGGGAGCTGGACAGCGGAGAAACGTGTCTGTTATTTCTGTTGGGATTTCAACTGGAAGAAAGGTAACGATATGTATGAAATTAACTCCAATTGATATTTGACATTACGTGAATGCTGTTTGTGTAGAAATACATCTTTAGTTAACGCAATCTGATTAAAATATGATGTAGTGTACGGGCTTTAATTATTTTGGCTATAAACTTATTTTTTATTACTTTTGTTATTAACGCCTTTTATTTTATGTTTTAACTTTGATTTTGTGATTTTTCTTTAATTCCGCCCTACGGATTTCGCAGTTACCAAAACTTCAAAAAATAAATACTAGATTAAAATAAAAAAAATAAATATACAAAAAAGCCAAAACTAAGATCGTATTTTAATCAGATTGGTCTTAACGCAGACTGGGTATTGTATTCTGTGTGGTCCATGTAGCGATATCCTACTTCTTAATGGTGTATCGTACGTGACGTTTTAACGACCTAGTCGCGTCAATTTGTGTTGCGGTGATTTGGAGCTGAAAAAAAATCTTGTTTGATAATTATCAGTGTATTATTTATCGCACAATATTTAGACGTTGGTGGCGAACGTAGCAGTATCATTTGCTGGACGAAATGTTGGATGAAAGTGTTAACCTGATCGAAAAAGTTCTTTGAGTCAAACAATCCTTTTCAACTAGCACAGCAACTCATCAACATCTGATAAGGTCATAGACAACTAAACTAAACTAAACATCAAATAGGTTACAAGAGTTACGAGGGATTTACCTTGATTGTCTGTTTCATTCAATTTGAAGTTACACACAACCGACGATAAGTTATTTGTTTTCGTAAAACCACGCCCCTCTATTTTGATGTCAAACCTTTCTGTGAACAAAATATAGATACACATATATAGAGAGATATGGCTGACGCTGAAAATGTCTACGAAATAATTTCCATAGTTCACTCTTGAATGTGTAAACGACCTGCAGTTTTAGTCGAGTTATGAAACATATTTATCGTTTGCTTTACACTATAGACATAAACTGAAAGTGCTTGAACATGCTTAGTAAGTTCATCAAATTTACTAATGTATTGTTATAATTGTAACACTGAAGCACAATCGTGGTTGTTACCTTTGGCGCAAACCTCAGTCGGTGACGCCGATAATATCTCTATACAAGACTGAATCACTATCTGAAAGATGAAAATATTTATTCTGTATTTTACAGAAAAACTGGGTCGAAATAGTGTGAAGAGAGGGTCGACACATATATTACTACATATATATGTTCTATGTATGTAATGCGGATGTGTTCGACTCAAGCCAATGTAGCAATATAATTTCGCAATAAGTTGTCATATTGTTAATCAATCGTACCCCTGATGTTGTCGCATCACCGTGCTCACAATTACATACATACCAAATCAGCACGTGACATATATTTTTCTTTTTTATCACAGTTTTACTTCATTAAAGCATCACGGAAATTCGACATATCAGTTGACATACCTTGTCAATCAGACTCGCTAGATCATAAAATGTATCTCCAGTAAATATGTGTTCGTCTGGCGGAAAGTTTGCCACAGCACGTAACTGTTTGGAATCAAAGTCACCTATCCCAACGGCAATCACAGTGGCACCAAGATGTCTGGCGATGTTGGCCTGCAAATACACCGTTAATAATATCGTTAAATGACGCAGTATTGTAAAGTATAGGGCAAGAGTATGACTTCCTCTCATATTTTGGCGTTTGGTGACGGCGGCTAGAGTCGGGAAGCCGGAAACAGTCGACTGTTTCGGGATAGGTGGGCGTGGTTACAACACGAGAAATATCTCAAAGTTACTCGGATACGAATAATCATTTTCAACCAAAAAGTCAATAACTGTCTATTTCAGTGGAACACAAATCAAAAACGGGAAATGTGTGGTACGGCATTTCACAAGAGCGTCCAGGGACAGTCGTCGCGTTCTACACCGAACTCTGAACAGTTAGTTGCGCGTTACTTACCATCACTTCATCTAGGCATATTTGCATACGATTTTTTTTTAATATGTGAATATATTCGAACTTCTGAGATTATGTCAGTAAACACACTCATGTACAAGTCAATTCGAAGAGTTTAACGTCATAAAGAGATTAACGACATATTTTAACGTTCTAAATCTGAATGAAATATTTGATTACGTCGATTAAATACGTGTGACGTCAGAGAAGTGTAGTCTTACACAATAACCGACTATTAAATTGTCCACTGGTTAGATGTTTCGCGTTCTATGACTGATAGGCACGGACAATTTGAATCAGTACAAGCCAGAAATAATAGTTAAACATTCACTATAAAACTAAACAAAATTCATTTGAGTGAAAATTTGAGTGTGTGATGTTTTATTTTTTCATTTCACTTCAGTAACGTTACCTCACAACGTAGTCCTAATTTATTTGTTTGTAGTACATTTTCAAACAATTACCAATTGGCTTTCTGTTAGATTGTGTGTTCAATTTTTTTTTTTGCTAGCGCTTTTGAATAGTGTTCATATGCTCATTGATTTCCCTTTGTTCCGAATTACTGCGGACCAAAGTAATTCAAAACGCGACAGAATCCTGTTGAATCCCCATTTTACACGTAATGCATGGAAATTCGGACTATTAAATATGTCACATAGTTCGAAGACTCCAATTAAGCCACACAATGCGGCATGACAAATGTAATGTTTTAACTTAAAGTGCCCCCACGTGTTACAGCGGTTTCTTCTTCCCATCTGCCCACATTTCAGTAGCCTAACAAGATCGCGTGAATTGCGCCCTCCGCGGTGCTCCAAGTAGGGACTGATGCCTTTCTGCCGGCGAGGGCGCCACTAACGCGTGCATGTCAGGCCAACATTTCAGGTGTTTAAAACAAGCAGCCTATCGGCTGAGATAGCTCCGCTGTTAGAAGTGCACATTTCAATTAAAGAACTGAAGACATCATCAGAAAATGAACAATATGTATAGTATCAAAGCAATCGGACTTACAGTTTTTAACAAGAAGTCGAAAATATCACTTTCTACCAAAAATGACCAAAATATTCACCAAAATTAGAGAATTGAAGATATCATCACGAAATGAACAAATCTGAGAAAGGTCTACATGTAGTATCTATATATGTAATATCAAAGCAATTGAACTTTTGGTTTTTAACAAGAAGTCGAAAATATCACTTTTTACCAAATATGACAAAAATATTCACCAAAATTATAGAATCCAAGATATCATCACGAAATGAACAAATCTGAGAAAGGTCTACATGTAGTATCTAAATATGTAATATCAAAGCAATTGAACTATTGG